CTGACACAGAGCAGAATAGGGACTGTTACCCCATATCACTTGGGTGATGGATGACACCTTGTTACAAACTGCTATTTGTAACGGGCCTTAAATGGCAAATTGCCCTGCTTCCCTGGGTTGTGGAGAAGCCTATTTGCCAGCCTCCTCCCGCATGACTATGGCCCCTGGGAGACTGTGAAAATGTATGCACTTATTTGGTGTGTATGGCCCTTTAAGACTGTCGGTGGGCATATTGGGGCTTATGGACTCTTTATGTGACTGGTGCTGGCCCTTTAAACACCTTTTTTGGGACATCAGGAAGATTGGGACACTGCCCCCTTAAGGCCGTGTCCCCAGACTTGTTGGGGACACTGCCCCTTTAAGACGGTGTCCCCTGTGTCCCCAGACCTGGTGCAAACCCTTTGTGCCTGCCTGGCTATTTCCCACTTGATTCAGTAAATGGGGCTTACTGAACCAAGTACCACACAGGCAGACCACCAGAAGTGGAAGTGTGCAGGCAATTTACCTCCCAGAAGCTGCGGTTAACCGCAGCTTAATTGACAATGCTGGGAGGTCTTTGTTCGTTTGCCGAACACGTGGCGGTGGCCATCTTTGATCATTCGACAAGGTCAGCGGTATGTAGCCAAATTCATGGAACTGTAAAATCACACATTCGGCTGAGCTCTTACCTTTCTCCCCTACTGGTTTTAGTGTAGAGACTAAGTCCGCCCGGCGATGGACTTAGTCTTTTTCAGTCGTTTTTCAGCCTTATTTCAGCTGCAGAGACTAAGTCCTATTCGCGATGGGACTTAGTCGTTTTTTCAGCCTGAAATAGACCGACCTCACAGCCCAAATCTATGGAACTGTTTTGGGCAGGAAAATGTGCTTGCAGTCGGTCATAAAGGGACCTACAGCTAACTTTTTAACCCCTGGATGGATTTGGCTGATTTTTTGGTTATGTTATGTTTTAAGTGTGCTGATTCCAAATATGTAATTATGAAGATGGGATGTGTAGTTTTAAAGTTACAGGGTATGGCTAAAAACTGTATTTTTACTGCCTGTGTTTAATTAAGTTAATCTCTTCCCAAACGTCATTTCGTTCAAAGTGGAGTGAATGTTAAAAAAATATATTTTTGTTCGGAGTGTGAGAAATGCTTTTCAGCCGCTTCAAATCTTAAGCATCATTTGAGGAGCCATACAGGAGAGAAACCTTATTTGTGGTGTGTTTAGTATTGTTCTGATCAGTTTAATACCTTCACATCAGTGACGGTATGGCGGTGCCACGAGGAACTGCATACCTGGGACCCGAGCAAGGTCACCTCGTTCAACAGGCTTGCAGCGTATCCTCCAGGAAGAAGAGCCTGAACCCTTACCGGCTGCACGTGTCTTACCTGTACATGGAAAGTTGCTCTGGTTCCTTGATGAGCCAGCTGCCCGTGAGTTAACATGTCCCGTGGAGAAGCACTCTGTCCTGTAAAGCCTCACCAAAAAAAAGGAGTGGTGTGTTTAGTATTTTTCTGATCAGTTTAATATCTTCCGCGTCTCCTATCAGTGGACGTGTATATGGCAGCCATTTTGTCAGATTCAAGTTCTTGTGCCCCACAGTTCAAAATAACATTCAAATGACAATTCATGACCGATCACACAAGTGAATAGCCCTGCCAACGTCTTCTCAGAATTTTTTCGTTTTCTATGAAGAAATAGAAATGCAAGAGCAGAATAGAGACTGTTCAGTTAAATACCTTCCGCGTCTCCTATCAGTGGACGTGTACACGGCATTGATTTTTGTAACAGGGAGATGGAAGAAGAGGCTTGGTCGGTCCTCTTACTGCAAATTTTGGGCACTGCGCGGTCAAGCTAATGTGACACCAGATAGGAGTGGTGTGTTTAGTACTATTTTTATCAGTTTAATACCTTCCGCGTCTCCTATCAGTGGACGTGTACACTGCATTGATTTTTATCTAAGCCGTAAACTTTTGCATAGCGAAGTAGATTCACTGCCATTGAAAAGGAGTGCATGGCGGTGGTGTGGGCCCTCAAA